GGGGGGGGGGCACCAGGGGGGACGAGTGTCACCCGAGGGGGTGCCCCAAGGGCCTTTGTCACCCTCCACTCACTTTTCTTCTTTTTCTTCGTGCCACCCAGGGCTGAGTGCAGCGCGTTCAGGAACCAGGAGAGGAAGTCCACCCCATCCCCTACAAACCGGAGAGTTGATCAGAACCAGGGTGGGGTGGTCCGGATCCAGCACCACCCCCCACCACCACCATCCCACCCTGCTCCTCACCTTGTTTGGTGATCTGGAAGTTCTTCTTGCTGCAGAGGACCACAGCTTGGAGCATCTCGTGGGGGGAGACGTGAGCTTTGAAGTTCCGGGGGTTCCACAGCTTCCGCATCAGCTCCCCGAAGCGCTGCACCAGCAGGAACATGATGTCCCCGGGCGGCCGCTGGATGCTCTTGTAGTTCTCCTCCTCCAAAAAATAATTCCTCAACGGCGGGACGTTGGATAAAGCCTGTGGGACAGGAACCGTGAAACATCCCCATCAGCCCCAGGGAGGATTGGGGGGGAGGGTTCACCCCAAAAATGAAGCCTGCAGCTCCCCTCCCAGTGATACCTGGAGGACGGCGTTGGCGTAGTCGTTGGCTTTGATGTTGTTGAGCCCCACGATGCCTGGCAGGTACGTGGTGCCATCGTAGGCACGGGAGAGCTTGGCCTGCTTGTCCAGGTTGGTGATCTGCTGTGCGGTGAAGGTGGGCTTCAACACATACTGCAGGAGAGAAATGGCGTCGGAAAAGTCAGGGGGGGACACGGGACACGAAGCTGAACCCCCACTCCAGGGCGGCTCAGCTCCCCTGCCGCACCGTGATGTCCTCCAGCGAGGAGTCGATGATCTCGTAGTTGTCGGGGAGGCAGTAGAACTTGAGGGTGTGGAGGTTGAGGAAGACGTGGTGGCTGAACTGGACACTGTGGATGTAGGCGTGAGACTTCAGCCCGCGGCCTGTGGGGGAGAGGAGGGGGTCAGGGCAGGGGGTGCGGGGCACAAGGAGGGGACGGGAAACCCAGGAGAAGGTGGAGATGGGACAGAAACAATTCCCCACCCGCATCCGGAGGCTGCTCCTGTCCACCCTGAGTGGCCCC